ATCACTTAGTGTCTATATTTTTAGGTTGGCGCCCTCTTCTTCTCTCTAACTCTATCTCCGATTCTCTGTCATGCGCAAACAGTTGTTCCTTAATTAGTGTCCGCATCTCGATCCTCATCCTCTTCCAGGACCGTCGTCAAAATGTCGGAGTCGCAACGTCGACTTCCGGTCGCTTTGCGCGTCATGTATACGTGGGAGGGGGTTCGAGGGCAGAAGATTTCTGAAGGTAAACGTCTTCAGATTTCAACTCTTGGAACGGCACAAAAAGTTGTTGGCTGAAGCTAGAGGAGCTGGAGAGGCCAATGGTATCTTGTCGTATCAGCGATTCCCTGGTTTCCCTTTTCCTCCCTTAGCTGGAAGAGAGCTCGAGTCGTTCCATGAGACGCTCTTTGAGCTCCAGATATCTGCGGAGTCGAGCCGCTCCGTATTCCCAGTAGCCGAAATTTATTTTCGAAGAATGAGCCGAGTTCAGCGACCACAGGCTCCACATAATATGAGAGGCCAAGGTGAAAGTCTCCGTTTCCTCCAGGAGATGTTCGATCGTGTTGACTTTCGGATCGATGTCGCCGTGGATGGAGCTTGACTTGAGAGTTTTGAGGTACTCTTCCAAGAAGGCGCGCCTCTGTTCCTCGGTGGGGTACTGATCGATGGACTCCTTGAACAGCGGGTATTCAGGGTGGCTGTAATCGTACGCCCATTCGCAGAAATGATTGGCAATGTCGAATCCTCTGTAATTGTAGGAACAGTACTCGAAATCGATAAACACAAGGTTCTCATCTGCCGAGCTTCCATCGCTTTCTTTGCTTTCCATGTGTAGGATGTTGCCTTCTTGCAGATCATTGTGGCAAAACATCACCGGGCTCTGAGCCCTCTTGAAGATCTCACGCAGCCAAGCCATTTCTCGTTTATAGTCGAATTCCATGAGCTTCTTCGCGAAAGGCTTCACGGCCTTCGGTATCGAGTTCGGGAGGATTTCGTTGCGGACCGCCAGCCATTTCTCCATGTTGTCGAACAGCCATGTTGGCTCTTTTGTCAGCGGTGCCTGGAGGGCATGCAGCCGAGCCAGCTTCCGTGAGATGGACAAGGAAATCTCCGGCTCGCGGATCTGCTCGGTAACCAGAGCCCGAGCCGGAATGTATTCCTCCAGTCGGCCGCCTGGGAACACGCCGAATAGTTTAGGTCCCAGAGCTCTCTCTGACAGGAGCGTGCAGATGATCGACTCGGTGATAGTCGAGGCGTCTTGGTCCCCTTGAATTTGGCCGTACATTCTCATCAAAACCTGAGAAGGTTCCCCACAAAGAGGGGTGTGCGTCTCTGGCAACGAACAGTAGTAGAGAAGGTTTGAGAGGCCTCCGCCAACCGTCTTGAAGACCATATCGTTCGATGAGATCGACTTCCAACTCCCAGAAAGGAACTCTCGGCAAATTTTATACGCTTTATTCTTCATCTCGTTCGACGCGACGCAAGTGTCCGCGACGGAGACGTTCTTCTCCGGCTCGCTGACATTCGGAAGCAACGAGATGAACGAAATGTTCTGCTCATGGGCGTGGATCGTGGAGCACATCTTGCACTGATCTAAGTTCTGGGCGACCTCGGACGAGTCCACTGCGGCCGAGACGCTTGAACTAGTTGAGCTTCCGGCTGGAATTGTGACAGTTGGTTGATCACGCGGGATTGAAGTCTTCTACGCGAACCTTGTTGCAGAGTTCGATCCACCTGACATTCAAGACGCTCTGACGTGCTCTACGTTGCCCGCGCGCGCGCGCGCCTCCGTTCGCACGATGACAGACACGTTTCTCGCAACGGACTCTCCGCCAACACGGCACCGAGCTGACTCCAAGTGGTCAACGACAGCAGGAAACAAGTAATATGTAACAGTTCAACAATCGGCGTCCGATGAGACCTGATCAACGGTGAACGAAGAACTGCTCGATCGACACTGAAGAACTTAATGGGTCGAGTGAAGGTTTCCGGTGTTTTTAAGCAGTGCACCCCTAACCGACTCGCTCGTCGAGGATGATGCGGAATCCGGAGTCTAGATAGATGATTGGCGCCTGCCGAGTTGCGGTGAGGGGGCTCCGATCTATCCAGATTTCACAACGACTGGCGGATGATGAGCTCGAGGGAGCTGCGCTCGAACGAAGCTGATTTGGAATTTTGATGATCGACGGAGCTCCGAAATCGAGTGCAGGAGTATGCTCATTTTCGATGTACCCAAAGCTGACCGCCTCTTTCCGGGGATCCTCTTCAACTTCACTTGAGCTCATGAATTTCTTCACAATCCCGTCGTTTTGCTTATTAATTGAGGATTTTTTCTGCGACATTGGAACTTGTCCAACCACTTCCGTGCTAGGATTGGCCCTTCACGCGAGAAACATGAGCCAGGAATGGTTCAGGAGTGACATGCTTTGTACATCGCAGGCCAAGGATTCCACTTCGAAATCGGACTCTTCGTCCTTAAGCTGCCTCGAGAGTGCATTCTTGTATCTCGGGAGAATCACGCCTCTGCCGAGACTTTGCCTATCCGGGGAACCCTTTTTCCTGAGCAGGATGATTGACGAGAGTTCGGCGAGATGACCGATAGAGAGTCGAGTGATTCGCGCGTCCGGAACTTCACAAGCAAACGTGATCTCCTCGGAGTAGAACTTACGTCGTGGGAGGCTCCCGCCCCTCGCAACAGATGATTTCATCCTCGATATAATCCCGCTGCTGGCGAGATTCGTCTTCGGAATTGATCTGCGAAAATCCCATTGGAATGTCCGATTGTTCCAGCCCGTTCTCCCACCAGACGTCGTCCTCTCGATACACACGGAGCGCCTTTCACAATTCCTTCGAACTGGGCATTTCCATCTAGCATGAGATGAACCTAGGTACCCGATTAGACGGTTGAGGGAAAATGGAGGGCTTTTGTTAGAGAATTTCCATCGATGAATTTTCTCTGCTCCCTCGATTTGTTGCGGCATCTCTCCTTCTGTGGGGGGTTGGACGATGACAGATTCAGACACAATCTGTTTGGGGAGCATGCTGCACCGCATTGTGCCCGCCGCTGCCCCACCCTGAGAGAGATGTCGGCGCGTCCAAATCGCTGCACTTTCCCCAAAACATTTTCATTCGGTCTTTTGCGTAGCAATTCCTTCGAAGACTCGTTCTGGTACTAATTTTTCTACTCTATAGCTCCCATCAGAAGAATAGGACAGAAGATAAGGCTCGCCGTTCTATCGTGGGTCACGGCACGGCTTTGCTCGGAACAAATTCACGCCGAGCCCCACCCACGAGGTCTTAGCTTCCGAAGATTCCACGAGAAGAGAAGTCTATTCAGGAGTCGGAATCTCAGATCCGAGCCCCCACCTAATTGTCAGTTACATACTACCTACCTCTTCTCGCCACGGATTCTGAGTTTCCCAAGCCGCATTCGCTCCAGAATTGGCAGAATACCGCAATGACAATCGGAAAGCTCACCAATTCAGGAACAGATACCTCTACACGAGAGGCGCGATACACGATTTCATCTCGAAATCTGTGCAACTCGAAACGCACACTCCCCGCCGATCGCTGGTTATGCAAACACTGCGGCTGTACTCGTGATACGTATCACATTCATCAGTGCAATCTTTTACACTCACACCAAAGACTCGGTTAATAAATGGCTTCATACATAATTGGAATGTCATACCAACGCTGCCTTGCTTTACTGGATGATTTATGTAAACTTGACCCGTAATTTCGGAGATCGAATCGCTCTGGTCACACGGTCTCCATGCCGAGATGTCGGTCACGTCGAGAGAGATACCTGCCACATCTGCCAGACATTGTCCGCGCGGACATCGGAACGAGGAGCAACATCTGAGACGGACTTTCGCTTGCATGTTCTCAGCCCGTCCTATGGAAATAATTTCACTGCAGAGTTATTCTTCCGAAAGGCAACGGTGCGCGCCGGCACCGGTGCCGGCGAATGGGGGCCGGACCTTCAGGAGAAAAGCTTTCGCGCGGATTCCCCATTCGGAGCCGTGGTCCTTTGATTATTTCACTAACAATCAATTATATCGGGACTTTTCTTTGAATGCTCGTCCACGCCGTCTAGTCAAGCATCTAATATGGCATGCGGTCTGCGAAGCCTC